CCCGGTCACCCCGAGGCTCACGACACCCCCGGTATTGAGGTCACCACTGGACCTCTCGGCCAGGGTTTTGCTAACGCCGTTGGTCTCGCTATGGCACAGGCCCACTCCGGTGGTGTCTACAACAAGCCCGGCTTCGAGCTGTTCAACAACTACACCTACATGTTCTTCGGTGATGGCTGCGCCATGGAGGGTATCGCCTCCGAGGCCGCCTCCATGGCCGGTCACCTTAAGCTCGGCAACCTGATTGCCATCTACGACGACAACCACATCTCCATTGGTAAGCCCAAACCCCCAGCCTAAGTACATTACAGAGACTGACCCTGCTACAGACGGTGACACCAAGTGCGCCTTCACCGAGGACGTCCTGAAGCGTTTCGAGGCTTACGGCTGGCACACCGAGTGGGTCAAGGATGGTGACCACGACCTCGAGGGCATTGAGGCTGCTATCCGCAAGTGTCAGCAGGTTACTGACAAGCCCTCCGTCATCAAGCTGACCACCACCATTGGTTTCGGCTCCAAGCTCGCCGGTACCGGCGGTGTCCACGGTAACCCCCTCAAGGCCGACGATGCCCAGGGTGTTAAGAAGCTGTTCGGCTTCAACCCCGAGGAGAGCTTTGTTGTTCCCCAGTCCGTCTACGACCTCTACCACAAGCACGCCGCCGACGGTGCCGCCAAGGAGCAGGAGTGGAACCAGCTCTTCCAGAAGTACCAGTCTGAGTACAAGACTGAGGGTGCTGACCTCGCCCGCCGTCTCTCCGGCAAGCTGCCCGAGGGCTGGGAGAAGAGCCTCCCCGTTTACAAGCCTACCGACGCTGCCGTCGCTTCCCGCAAGCTCTCCGAGGCTGTCCTCGAGGCCATCCACGATGTCGTTCCCGAGCTCGTCTCTGGCTCCGCCGATCTGACTGGCTCCAACAACACCCGCTGGAAGAACGCCGTCGACTTCCAGCCCCCTGACCTCGGCATTGGTGAGTGGGCCGGTCGCTACGTCCGCTACGGTGTCCGTGAGCACGCCATGGCCGCCGTCATGAACGGTCTCGCTGCCTACGGCACCATCATCCCCGCCGGTGGTACTTTCCTCAACTTCGTCTCCTACGCCGCCGGTGCCCTCCGTCTGTCCGCCCTCTCCCGCGTTCGTGTCATCCACGTCGCTACCCACGACTCCATCGGTCTGGGTGAGGACGGCCCCACTCACCAGCCTATTGAGACCCTGGCTCACTTCCGTGCCCTCCCCAACTGCATGGTCTGGCGTCCCGCCGACGGCAACGAGACCAGCGCTGCCTACTACTCTGCCCTGACCGCCAAGCACACCCCTACCGTCATGGCCCTGACCCGCCAGAACCTGCCCCAGCTCGAGCTCTCCACCATCGAGAGCGCCCTGAAGGGTGGTTACGTCGTTGTCGACACCCCCAACGCTGCCGTCACCATTGTCTCCACTGGTTCCGAGGTCAGCATCGCCATTGAGGCTGCCACATATCTCCAGGAGAAGCACGGTGTCGCTGCCCGCGTTGTGTCGATTCCTTGTTTCGAGGTCTTCGACGCCCAGGACAAGGCCTACCGCCTCAAGGTCCTCCCCGACGGCATCCCCGTGCTGTCCGTCGAGGCCTGCTCCACCATGGGTTGGGAGCGCTACTCTCACGAGCAGTTCGGTCTCAACCGCTTCGGTGCTTCCGGCCCCTACAAGGAGGTGTACGCCGTAAGTTATTTCCACTCCTTTTTTGGATGCTTTATACTAACCTTTTGCAGAAATTCGAGTTCACCCCCGAGGGCATCAGCAAGCGCGCCCTTGCTACCATCGACTTCTACAAGGGCCACAACGTGCGCTCGCCCATTAACCGTGCTTTCCAGCAGATCCTGTAAGGAACGGAACGAATATGACGTAAAAAATTGTTTTGGTTTTTATGAGGAGCGATTGTCCTCCAGATACACAAGAATGCAAATAGAGTATTCACCTGTTAACCTGAAGCCCTCGTAGCATGTAGTGATCATGATGCCCATGTTTTCTTCTGCATCTCAATAACCTCCCGCAACATCTCCTCTTTCTTCTTCCGCGACTCAGCAGTGGAAGGCCCATATGCCTCTTCCGTCTGCCGAACAACCATTTCTCTCCACGCCTGATCACCTTGAATACCAATCTGCCCTAGATCATCCCACACATCCTGAATCGTCGGCTCCAGCTTCTGCAAAAACGCCCCAATTCCACCCTCTCCACCACCAGCATGATAACTCTCAAACACACCACTCCCAGCCCACCTAGGCCCCACACTAGCCGTAACGATAGCATCGAGATCCCTCGCCGAAACAACCCCCTCGCCAACAAGAGAACAAGCCTCCCGCAACAAAGCAAAAGCAAGCCGATTCCCCACAAACCCAGGAACCTCCTTATGCAGCGTAACAGGCCGATAATGGGCCCCAGTCTGACCATCGACAGAACCAGGACCGGGAATCCCCCCAAAATACCCCTTCACAAACTCAACTCTCTCAACCGCAGTCTCGGGTCCAGGCACAACCTCCACGAGGGGCATTATATGCGGTGGATTGAACGGATGCGCGACAAGTAGCCTCTCCCCTACCCCATCCGCAGGGTCACAGGTAGCACCCTGCGCCGACGCAGCAATCCCGGAAGAACTACTCCAAAGATGTGCGTCATGCTTAGCAAAACGCATAACCTCCTTCCAAAGCGCCTGTTTGGAGACTGTCACTTCGGGACTTTGTTCCTGAATGATCGTCGCTTTCGTCACGGCTTCTTGGAGGGTGGGTGCTAGTTTCAGGCGGGATATTTTGAAGAGGTGGTCGACTATATTTGTTTCTGATCCTGATGCAGTAGCTGAGGCTGTGAACTCTAGAATGGAGGGGAGGTTGGTCCGGATTTGGGTTTCTGTGTCTGGGCGTGGGTCGTAGACTGTTATGCTTGTGTCTGGGCGGCGGAGGTGCATTGCTAGCATTGAGAGGCCGATTGTTCCTAGGCCCAAGAGGGCGATTTGGTGGGGGTATTCTTTTGACATTTCGAGTGAGATTGGAGGTTGAAGAGAAGAGAGAGAGAGAGAGGATGAGAAGCAGAGAAAGAATATGCGCAGTGTTTGGGGAAGTGCGAGATGCGGGGGATCCGAGGTACTCAAGTGTAGCATTATCGTGACTGTAAACATATCTTCTCTGCTATGTCTGCCATGACTCCTATTGGCTTCTGGATTGGATACCTGCTGAAATCGTTTCAAGGATCTACAGGAAGTGTGCTAGTCACGATTCATAATTCATAATATCGCAGCTGCCACCGTGACTGCAGTTGGTGACTCGATCGGTCAGAAGGCTAGCTCGGCCGCAACATATGATTTGGAGATGGAGGAACTACTAGGTATTTCACTTTTGGGAGCTTTGATAAGCGCTGTATTTGTGAGAATTCCGCGCAGCGAAGAGAAAGATCATGCACTTTAACTGCAAGACAGGAGTGTATTATTCTCTCGATCCATGCCGAATGTTCAAAAGTCCATTATCCATTACCCATTACCCTCCTTTGTGCCCCCGAAATCTTGGTTCGGCGTATGTAAACGGAACTTCTCATCTGCTGTCGTGCCTTGCGCAGGGGGTTTAGTAAAGCCCCAGCCTCGAACCCATCGCGTAGGTGGATTATTCGTGGTGGTGCAGAAACAAGAACCCGTCGTTGAAGTCCTCCTCGTCCAGGGGAACACCTTCCTTGCAAAGGATCTCAAAAACCATAGTGAGATGGTAAAAGATGTTGGGCAGCGAGACGCCATTGGCAAACTCGACGCGGTTCGAAACAGTGAGACCGTTCGGCCAGATTCCGAGCTCCGTGTCTTCGCCTCTTTCGGTGACGACAGATCTGTTGGCGATATTGAGACCTCCCAGTACCTGGGCACTGGTGGAATGCATTTCAAAAAAAGACTGCATGGGGTCGAAGATGGTGGAAGGGCGATGGGTCAGCTTAGCCAACATTTCCTCGGCCTTTTGGATGGCTTGGTGCACGTGGAACTTGAACGGCTTCGAGTCAGCGTAAAGCTTGGCTGTCAACAAGGTGGCAGCATTGACGTGTCCCTCGGCCTTCATCAGAAGGTGGTTCAAGGAAATCAAGGCAACTTTGGCCGGGTGGAAGGTTCCATCGTAGATGGAGTAAGAAGGGAGATCCATGTCCGCAAAGTATCACGGTGCCTGTGCTCGAGAAATCTAGTTAATTGGATGTCATCTCTAAATAGAAGGTTGGACGTACCGGTGGACTGAGTTGACGGGGGAGATAAAGATGAAGACGGACTCAAGTTAGGTCAAAAGTGAAGTCGAAAACCGCGTTACTTTTATGACCGTGTGACCAAAAGGTTCGCAACGAAAACAATGATGTCCCCCAACACCTCCAGAGATCCCCAGAGATCTCCAGTTATCCTTCACAACGAGGAACTCGAGATTCCGGGTGACAGATCCCACCCCATACCAACCATCACTTTACCGATATGTTATTTAAAGAGTCAACTACGTGTATAGACGTGAAAAGTGACACGCAGGTACTTGCGGTATAGCCTTGTCGCATGAAGTTAAAAGAATGATCAGAAAGTGACGTTACTGCTTTTTTACCCTCCCTGGTCTCAACTTGTATATATGCAGCAATGAATAGATAAATTGACTACATTCAAGCGAATGTACAGTGCCAATTGAACAAAATACTTAAGAATGCATGTACTGTTGAGGTTGATGCAGGGTGAAATAGTCCTGCCCACTGAGCCCTAACTCAGCAACCTGCTCACCCGTTGCTCCCTCCTTATTGCCTAAGATTGTTACCAGGAGGCTAGGTCTCTACCTTCAGATTGAATGAGAAATACAGTACTTGTGCATACATTCACTTCGACTGCCCTAAATAGCAGTACTGCCTTTAAAATGAACTGTCTGAATCACAACACAGCTAATTTGCTAGGATAGTATTGGCGTAGTGTTCTTTCCTAGCCTACGTGGCTTCAGAGCCTCACGACAGCATGTACTATATAATAACCGGGGGACTTTACCTATGTATCCGGCCAAGCGCCTGGAATCATAGTGACTGGCTGCTCCACCATCTCCCAGAATTCCCCAGAATAATCGTCAGATCGTTCCGACAGCCACAATGTCCAATCCTGTGGATATTGACTATGAGAGAACCCAATGACACGCTGCCACCCCCAATTTCTTCTCCAGAACACATCGCGTTCGGTCAAACCCTTCTTCCATAGTTGATCCTCCATTTGTCCAAACTTCTGTAGATCAACACCCCCGGTCTGAATGTCTGTCACCCAAGCTTGAAGTGCAATATCCCATCCTCCCATAGCACATCCATTAAAATCCCACCAGTAGATAAACCCCCCTAAAAAGGCGAGGAACGGTGTCATTCCACCGACAACATGGTGTAGATCCACACCCGCAAGCAAGAGATCGCGGAATAAAGCATTCCAAGCCTCGTAGAGGCTTAGTGCTTCTTGGTATTCCTTCTCAAATTCAAGGGTACCACCCCTCCCGCCTTTAAGTGTTGATGCTCTCCGCATTCGTTGGAGCTTTTCCAGCGCGGCTCGACTTCCTCCAATTCTCATCGCAATACAATGCACCAGGGTCATCTCTGTCCACCACCGCCAAGAGGTCTTTAATTGTAGGTTCTCGGGCTTCCATGGTTTTGCGCCAAGGATAGTTCGAACAAGCTCAGGCATATGATTCGCATCCCAGATACCCGATGTCGCTCGGGCTGCCACTGCGATTCGAACCCACTGGGGCATATCATAGAAGGTTGGACAGAACTGGCGCTGAAAGAAGAGGAACTCTTCTGCAGAGCCATGGAAATCCGAGAGAATACCACCCAGGACCTCTTCCGGTGTCTCATATATCATTTCTTCCGAGGGACAGAGGAGACGCATTGATGGGAGTAAATGTCGACTTTCACGACTGAACATGTTGCCTGTCCATACTAAATGCCGGAGGGCTGTGTTGAACTCAACTTTGCCTTGTCCCTGAAGACCAGGATCTGTTCCTTCTTGTAAAAGAAATTTAATGATCTCTGCCCGGTTCGCGGAGTGTGCATACTAAGAAAGCAAAAGCAAAGTCACCATGTCAGCAATATGTAATTGAAGGTGGATAGATACCCCCTGTATTACTCACAAATAGCAGAGTGTAACCCGTAGTATTGACACGATCAAAAGGCGAAGCCTGCCTTGAAGCAAACAATTTTTGTAGCCCTTTGAGATCGCCGGTTTCGACACATTGCACTGTTTTTGAGTCCTCGCGAATTTCATTGTAACTACGGAAATCCCATTTCCAACCATCACGCGCTTGCGTGCCAGCTAGCTCAAACGTTTGGGCAGTAATCCAAGATGGGAGACTGAGACGCCACAGATAACTGCTTCTCTGAGCTTTGATTGACTTATTTGGCAATGTTGAGACTGGTTCTAAACAGCGGGGCTCTTTTCTCTCTGCTAAATGATCAAGACTTTAGTTTCATGTTGATTTTGAGAGAATTTCTATTGATCAACATACCATAAGCCACAGGCGTATAGCTCAACTCAGACCACTCTATCTGTGTGACCGTTGGCTTCATATCCTGCGCAATCCTCTGTGCAATCAGTTCAGGTTGAACCTGAATCAGAGCCCTATGCAGACATGTGAGCAGGTCATCTACCCAAAAGCATATGGTAAGACCGCAGCAGACGGAAATATCATACCTGGTATAACACTGCTGAGACAACAAAAGCAGCCGCATAACTTTCTGCAATCTCTCCACAAGCCTCTCAACCTTCCCTTTCTTAAACATCCCTACTTTAACAGCTCCATAACCCCTTCTTAATCTATTCAATTTCCCACCTCCCGCGCTACGATTGCCGCCCGGCCTCAAGTCTTCCAATAGCTCTTGGCACAGCGCATCCAAGTCCTCCGCCGCCTCCTTACAAAACCGATAGCTCTGTGCGGCATGCTTGCTATTGCCCAGCGCCGAAACAAGAGACTGCTGCTGGAGGTCGGTCTCGATTTCGTCCAATATTAGACTGAATAGCTCGATGTCTCTCACAAGGGCGCGTAGATTCTCGGGAGCGTTGTGGATGTCGTGCCAGCATTCTTTCAGCGTTACTATCGATTTTCCCACATGGGCGACAAGGGCAGCGAAGGTTATGGCGCTTGCTATTGTGCCGACTAGCTCGGCCATTGGTGGTATAAGTGCTAAATAATATGCATGGGTAGTTCAACACCCATTTTGAGGGTTGGTAACAAAAAAGTGTAAATAATGCGCTAGGGCTGAGCTTGAGTGTTATAGGGCAAAGAAAATTCAAGAGTAAAAGATAATGTTTGAGGTCTGCGGGAGTTGGGCGGGTTAAATATTTAAGGTACGTTCTTAACCTCACAGCTTAAGCTTGCTTATTTCGAGCAAAGTTATTGTGGGTTTCTTGCGTGGTTGGGTCTTTTTGTCAACGATTCTTGCCGGTTATTAGTTGTCCTTAGTGCTGACACTGTCTCCTGCCAATCAGGGATGGAGAAACCTCCACATTTAGTAATTCTTTCTTGTTTTCTTCTCCCTTTTAGCCCTGGCATATCATGTTGGGCAGGTGATGTTGCTTTCCTGCTATTTGCTGTTAACTAGGGATCTATATTATCGGGCTTTGGTTCGTGGTGTCAAACAAGCATCATACTGCGCAGCTGAATATTTAGTTGCGGCTGCAGACGTGGCCCGGTGTTATTGGTTGGATAGCAGTCGAACTCTTTCAGCTACGCACCCAGGGGATTGACTTTTTAGGATATAGATCATCGTAGATGGATCCTTCGCCTTACTTTGCTCTTCGCTATTTGAGTGCCAAGACAAAAAGCGTACACAGACCAGTCCCTGTGCTCGGTGAAACTAAGTGAGTCTACCTATCTTGTTTCTGTTTCTTTTCTTTTCTTTTCTTTTTTCTTTACGCGCCGTGCTTTGCAAAGCGCTATGTGCGGCACACAGGGTAACGGCGCCCCAGCTCCGCACCCTCTGTCTATTCTACATACAACTAATATGTGTAGGGTGACGCCACCCAACGGTGGCATAGCCCTCCTGTTCACCCGGGTGCTGGTTGCATTATACCCGGGGCTCTGAATATGCTCAGTATGATCAACATTGATATTGGCGAACGATTCAGTAGGAATATCTGAAATGGACATCTTCCTTATCCGTTTGATCGGCCACTGAGCCTCCAAGTTGTTGTAGCCCACTTCTATCAAGACTCCAACCTTCTCTTTCAAGAGTCTTATCCTTGTCACTATTCAGCCTTCTCATATAAACTGCAAAGCTCAACAGCAGAAATATTTCCACAACATAGGCAGCCAGCATAGCCACAATGCCAGAGGTGTATTGAGGAGCCTCATCACTTTTGAAGGCGAAAGGTCCAATAATATTACCGACACAATATGCAATGAAGAAAATAGCATTGACCACTGTGCGTTTAGTGGAGCCACCGGTATTGGCTGTGATTAGAGACATGATCATCGCGAAAGACGCAGTATATGTACTGGTCAGCTAAGGCATAAAGTCAGTTCACAGAAAGCTGGCTGGAGAAGATTATGAACAATACCCAGTAACAAACAAGAAGGGCAGCCTTGTGATCTCGCGATATAGTATGGATGCCGACAGCGCCCGCCAGAGCAGGACATACGTAAAGAGCACCGACGAGGCACCTCTTTTGCCCAGGAAGCCATCGTTGGATGTACATCGCCGACACGTTAGAAACCAAAATCACCATTCCGTAGGGTATTTGGAATAGGGTGGCCACAAGATTCGAATAGCCAAATCCTTGGATAATTAAGCTTCCAAAGTTACTCGCCGCTCCATTTACCACCTGAGTGCAGACTCCACAGAGGAAGAATATCCATGTCTTTGGGTCGGCAACTGCTTCTACGAGCTGATACCTTTTGATTTCGCTAATGTTGCCTCCGTGGTGTCTAGGTCCCAACCGACGGATTGCGATCTCCTTCTCCTCGTTGTTTAGCCAGCGACTGGCTAGTCAGTCAATGGATATGTTATTAGAAGGAAATTTTGACATACGCAGATGATGGATTCTCAGCCAAGTTGAAAAACATAAAGATACCCCAAGCTGAAGATATGGCGCCGATGATGATGAATTGATATTGCCAAGATGCCAGTGAGCCATCTATGTGGCCAATAGCAAAGGCCAAAAGACCCCCAAAGGAGTTTGCAATTCCTAGAAAGGTTGACCACCAACCGATTCGAATTGGCTGTTCTTCGACCGTGTACCATGTTGCTGTGATGAGAAGGTAGGCTGGCGTGGAGCATGACTCTAGAGCACCTAGAAAGAAGCGCAATCCCAGAAAGGAATCAAAGTGACTGCAACCTGCCAAGGCCATTGTTATTCCACCCCAGAGTATGATATTTCCTGAAAGCCATTTAGAGACGGGAAGTTTCTGCATGGCGAATGCGGTTGGATATTCAAACTATATGAAATGTGAGACAAATGATTGGCTCAATGAGCTTCTCAAGGACATACAGCAAGATAGCCAAAATAGAACATGCTCCCTGTGAGAATAGACTCGGTAAGCTATAAACATTCTGGGGAGAAAGCCGAACTAACCAAGCCAGCTATACTCTGTTCCCTTGAGGTTCAAAGATTCCTTCAAACCGAACACGGCGGAATACCCTAGCATAGCTTTATCGATATAAGTGATCAAATACGTGATGCAAACAAATGGAATAACGAGCATATCGATTTTGCGAATGACTTTCTGCAGGAGAGCTGGATCGATCTCTGCAGACCATTGTGCCTCTTTTATACCGGCATCTTCTCTTTGATTAATGCCACCATCTGAGGCCTCGATATGAACACTAGAAGGTTTGGACATCTTGCAAATTAGTGTCCTCGCCCGTCTTAGGATCCGAGAATTATCTTCTGCTTTATATCCGAGACCCAGATAGACACGAGTAACTTCCTATAAAAAGGAAATGCGGGGAAATCCCAAATCTTAGCGGATTTGAGCTCATTCAGTCCTGGCGGAAAAGCCCTTGCGGAAAAGCAAGCGTTGACAGGGTTTCGGACTTCCATCCGACTCCTCCCCGCTTTATCCTATAAAGGTTGTCTGTATCAATAGATCAAATGACACGCAATTAGTAAGGTTATCATATTAGTTATCAAACATGTTGTACATATGGCGTTGAAGTTTCTTGGCACAACTTAGCAATGAAACATAGATTTTCGAACGGTGCATAGAAAACCAAGAACTCTCAAATTAGGTGTGATGCACCACAACGCTAGGTGACGGTAACTTGGGCGCCGAAAACAGTTAGGTTTGACGCCCTTTTAAGCGTCCTGATTCAGACTACGGTCGTTGGTTCAAGGTTTTCCGACGCGTCGGTCATTGTTTCTAGTGGCCAGAGGCTCGGAAGCTCCCCGTGGGTGGGTCCGTTATTCCGCTCGGCATACATCGAGTCTTTTAGTCGCGATCAGATTGTCGTATCGGAAAGCAGTGGCAGGGATGATCCGATACACTGATGGTACCCTTAACTACTTCGGCCATACAGTCATCTCATACAGTGACAGTCGTAATACTGCAGTAATATTCGATACTAGTTCTTAGAGTAACGCAACCAACGCAGTAACAGCGCTCTTTCTTCTATAGCTCGACCAACGCCTCTGCTGAACCACCAAACTGCTTCTGCCACAAATTGTAGTACCTGAGGCGCTTGCGCAACAGTTCCTCATGGCTACCCCTCTCAACAATTGTTCCCTCGTGCAAAACTAAGATCTGGTCCGCCCTAACAACAGTCGAGAGCCGGTGGGCAATGACAAACGTGGTCCTCTTCCTACTCAACCGCTTTAGCGCACCCTGGATTTGCGATTCGGTCTCCGTATCGACGGAACTCGTTGCTTCATCTAGGACAAGTATTGGCGGGTCTTTCAAAAAAACTCGTGCAATCGCCAAACGCTGCACCTCCCCTCCAGACAGTTTAACCCCTCTTTCGCCGACTTTGGTGTTGTAGCCCTTGGGGAAGGAGAGGATCTTGTCGTGAATTGCGGCAGATCGGCACGCCTCGTAGACCTCTTCATCTGAGGCAGAGACTTTCGCATAGCGAAGGTTCTCCATGATCGATGCGTTGAAGAGAATAGGGTCCTGTGAAACCACGCCGAGGACATTTCGCAGCGAGCCCTGCGTCACGCCGCGAACATCATGACCGTCAATCTTGATGCTACCTGATGTTACATCGTAGTAACGGAGCAGCAACTTTATGAGGGTCGACTTGCCTGCTCCGGTGGTGCCAACGAGGGCAATAGTCTCACCAGGTGGCGCAGAAATGTTGACGTTCTGGATGGCAGTTCTGTCAGCACTATACGCGAAGCCCACCTTTTCGAACTCGACGAGCCCTTTCACTGAACCCAGATCTAGAGCGTCTTCTTTGTCTGCGACTGTGGGCTCCGTTGTGAGCAAATCGAGCAGCCGCTCTGCATCGATCAGCTGCTGCACTAGCCCGCGGTATTCGTGCGATAGAAACCGGATCGGCCAAATAAGGTAATCCCAGTACTGAATTAGAAAGACAAAGTCACCGGGAGATGCACGTCCCCGGTAGATCTCGTTGGCAATGAGGCACGTAAGACAGAAGAAGGTAACCGGGACGAGCGCCTCCGTTAAAGCCCTGGTATACACATCCCTCAGGGACCAGTTTAGCTTTGCCACAAGGTGCTTGTCGACAGCCCCTCCAAAGCGATATTTCTCATACGAAAATATGCTGAAGGCGGAGACAGTCTGCCACCCCTGAATGGCTTGGTGCATGACCCGCGCCTCGGCCCTCTCGGCCTTGGTCAGTCGCCGGCGGTTTTCCACGTTCCAGCTAGAGGTGATGACTTCAAGAGCCATGAATGCTAGCGATGCGATGAGCATGCATAGTGCAGCTGACGAATTGAACTTTATGTAAAGAAACCCAAACGCCACACACAGATCGATTACAGTTGGCACAATCTCCAGGATGGCGGTCTCCAGGATATTAGTTAGTGTTTCACCCTGTTCAATGGCTTTCATCACCTCAGCAGAGTCTCTGTCGGAGTGAAACTCCATTGCCAGGCCCATGACGTGATTAAAGGCGGCGTTTGTAAGTTGACGATACGAAAATTGTTCGATAGGAATTTTGGCTAGCGTCCGAATCATTTGCAAGCCCGAATCGCCATGCAGCAGATTCAGGATGAAGTAAATGCCCAGGTCTGAAAATGGCATCTCTCCTACAAAGAGTTTGTCCGCAACAATCCCAAGCTGGCGAGGAACCAGGACGTTCAAGAAGCGGTCTGTGATCAGACAAAGCACACAAGCAAAGATGCAGGCTTGCACTTTTAGGTCCTTTCTGGGGACAAGATATGGCAGAAAGATCTTGAAGTTGTGGAGATAGACCATCCAGCTGCCGCTCTTACGAAGCTGGCCGGCACGAGTGTCGCTAATCTCATCCTCTTCATCGTCGGGATGATCCGAGTCCCAGTCGTCACTAGAAGACTCACTAGTATGGCAAGATACGGATGAGCGCGAGGAATTGCTGTATGAGACCTGAGTGTGGGCGACCTGGCCATTCGGGTCACCGAGGAGAGGCTGCACCTCCTGCGCTGCTTCTTGCTTCAGTGCCTTTTCGTGTGAAAGATAGCACACGAGGCAATCGATGAGCATCCCAGCCACCAGAAGCAGTCGAATAAACCCAATAGCCAGCAATGCTTTGTATGCAGTGGAATGTACTGGATACATGGCACCTAGGGCCAGAACTGGAATCCCAAATGCGACCGAGATTGTGGAGAGACCAAAGATTTCGGAAATGCGTAGCTCCTTGCGGAGGCAGGTTGAAGCCCATGCCAAGGCAAAAGTGGCAGTCATGAATAGATAATCTGGTGTTGGACCAGGTCCATGGCGCTGCAGAGAAGCAGTCACCTCAGCAATGTAAGAACCCGATGTAAGACCAACACATATTACTCGTAAGGAAGTCTTCCGTGGGACCGAAGACGTGCTGTGGGTTTCCCGTTCATAGTTGACGAGAAAAGAGACAAAAACGAAGAGCAAAGTAATGACTGTGGCTGCCACTTCCAGTAGCTTGCTCGCCCTTAAGGCGAGTATCATCGTGTAAGCCGCTGGGGAGGGTTTTCAGGTGCATGAGAGAAAAAGAATGGTGGATGGGAAAATCAAGTTGTAGCGGGCTCTTGATAGGAAACCTTGGCGCCTAATGTCAGCCTTGCCGACCCTCATTCTCACCACTGGCAGATGTAACGCATAAAACATATTAGGGAGGAAATGAAGTTTATAAATCATCTGTAGGGCAAAGTAAAGACAAGCAATGATGTAAATGTGAGTCTATGAACTGTCAGCTTTATCAACAGCAACTGCATTGCAACCGCCGACTTATTCTTCCGTTGGAGTCCCAGGGTAGTCCAGTGGTGTGCCCAATCAAAATAATAGGTCTGTATGCATTCGGCTGGTGTGTGTTGCTGTCTTCTGGGCATATCTCCTGTCCCTGCAGATCTGAGAGAGCCGAATACCCAGCCGGGACTCCAATTGGGTGCTCCATCGGCGGTTATCCGGCGGTATGATGCCTCCAGTGCTCCTTTGATTCATTGCGATACTGTATATGAAGCGAGGTTTAGCTAGTTCGGAGTGCAATCGACGACGTGGAGGTGTTCGACGGCCAGTATTCAGGGCCACAACAACCTCACGGCCTGGTGCCTGAAGAATAGACTTTGGGGCACCAAATTCCATTCCACCCCACCTTGGGCGAGCAAAAGCAGCCCAATTGAGGACAGGTACATTCCAGTTAAGCTTCTTCAAAGGCAACTGTTCTACAAAATAAGCAAAGCGCAGACCATGGGGTCGATGGCTCGGAAATACGTGATTTCATTTCAATATCGTCATGAGAATATAAAGACCATTAAGCTTTTAAGATATCACGACATTTATGCGTTGAGCTTCTGGCGAGCAAAGTTGGGCAGGACAAAGGAAGCGCGGTGGATGTCCTGGTTGTAGTAGCGGCAGAGCTTCTGCTCCTCCTCGGCGGACCAGGTGCGGAGGGGCTCACGGACGTTGCGGGAGGCATCCTTGCAGCAGACCATAAAGCCGATCTGGCCGGAGGGGTAGGTGGGGATGGTGGTGTAGGCGTATTCGGCGACGGGGAAGACCTCCTTGCAGGACTTCTTGAGGTCGGCAATCAGGTCAAGGTGGAGCCATTGGTTCTCGGCTATTAGATAAGAAGGCACAGCTCCGCAAAACCGAGCCCGTCAAGCGGGTTGGTTGCGGGGTGGTGCGAAAAGGGTTAGCCAGGTGATCTTTTTGAATAACAAAGAGTGGTAAAAGGTTGGTGGGAAAGGGAAGGACGGAGTTGAGCGACCAAAAGGCAATTGATCTGAGTGCAGGGGCAAAAAGAAAGGTGACGAACAACCTTGGGTAGTGATAACACCTCCCTCGCGGAGGGCGGACTTGAGAAGCTCGAAGTAGGGCTTCTGGAAGAGGCTCTCGGCGGGACCTTCGGGGTCGGAGCTGTCGGTGATAATAACGTCGAACTCGTTCTGGCGGTTCTTCAGGAACTCGAAGCCATCACCAACATGGGTGTGGGCGTTGGGGTGCTGGAAGCCAATGGCCATGCCGGGGAGGTACTTCTTGGAGACACGGATGACAGCCTCATCGATGTCGCACAGGGTGGCCTCCTTGACGGAGGCGTGCTTGACGACCTCACGGAGGACACCACCATCACCACCACCAATGACAAGGACCTTCTCGGGGTTGGGGTGGGAGTTCATGGCGAGGTGAGTGATCATCTCCTGGTAGGAGAACTCATCACGCTCGGTGCACTGGATAACGTTGTCCAGAACGAGGACGGTGCCGTAGTCGCT